AGTATCAGAGTAGGAAATGGTAAGCTTGCCAGTATCATAATTTCAGAAAATGCTCTTGTTACTGAGAAGCAATACTACTGAAAATCATTAGCAGTGTTTAAATTCTTTCAAAGAAAACCAGACTGTGAAATATACATGTAAGTGAAAGTTTACAAATATCCTTAAAGTGCTTTTTCTGTTTCCTATTTGCTTAAAAAAAGTTTTGTATATTTGGAGTCAGAGGAGGGCGGGGGAGAGAGAGAGAGAGAAAGGGAGAGATCTTCCATCTGCTAGGTCAGCACCCAAATGACTTTATTGACCAGGGCTGGTCCAGGCTAAAGAAAGAAACCAGATGCTTCTTTCAGGTCTCCTACAGTGCAGCAGTGGCCCAAGTACTTGGGGAATCTTCTGGTTTCCAGGACACATTAGCAGGAACTGGTTTAGACATGGAGTAGTCGAGATACAAAGTAGTGCCTTTATGGGATGTCAGCCTTACACGAGACGTTTTACTTGCTATGCCATAGCACCAGTCCCAAACCAGTTGTTTTTTCCCATTAAAATATTAGACAATGAATGAGGCAGTTGCCTGTTTGGCCTTATAGACCACATGGAGATTATCTACTTGCTGAGGAAAAGTCCTGGCAGGTGTCTTGCACACTTCACTGTAATGTCAGGCAGCCAGAATTAGCTGCCAGTAGCATCCAGCAGAAATTGTCCCTATATCAGAAAGCAGGAGAATAAGAAAGATTAAGCTCTTTTTCTCAAAGACTTGCTGACTATCACCCATTTGTGAGACTTGCATATTTTCTTTTACTCGTCCTATATGTAATTTCTGCTGCTTCTCGCCAAAGGGTCCCTTAATAGGGATCAGGAAGTGGAAGGTATGGACTTCACTGGTCTCCATTGGACAATGAGCCGCTATGCCTTCCTTCACAATATCATGAAACTTCTGGAGGCAGAGAATGTGACCCCATGTTACTGGGATTTTGTACTGCTACTCCATTGAAAAGGGCTAGAGTTCACCAAAAATCTCAACCATGTTTAGGCAGCCTTTTGCAAAATGAGCTGGATCTACAGCAGCAGTTTCATGGTGTCTTCAGGCAGCAATGAGGAAAGCTGGGCCTCTCTTCTCTAAAATGTTACACGATGGATTCAACTGACTGTCCAGTCAGCCTCTGTGAGTCTTGGCTCAGCTTCCAGAAGGCTTCCTGCTGTCTGCCAGGCTCTCCACACTGAATTCTGTCCTTCTCCAGAGGCCTGTTCAGAGCAGATTCCCACTAGCTCAGAGCAGAACAAAGGTAGGGAATGGAGTGGGCAAGCTCATTTTTACTTCTATTTTTTTTTCCCCAATGCCTAAATTCTATGTCCTGCTTCCAATTAGGACTTTGATGGTCCAGAATATGCCTTATTAAATGTAAATCCTACAAGGTCCAACACAGTCCATCGCCTCAATGAGCTTATTCATGTGCTGGTGGTTGCAGTTGCTGGATTAGTCCTGTTTCCAGCCCTGTTTTACACATGAACCAAAGGGTCTTGCAGTCCAGCCTGATCCTGCACACCACATACTTGGCCCTCATGCAAACCAGTGGGAGCTGCAGCCTAGTCAGAGCAACCCACAATAACCTCCACCAAGCTCACCCCCTGCCCTGGTTCCCGTGCTTGTCAGAACGTATGGCAGACTAGTCCTGTCTGTTCCACATTCCGTTCAGCTCTCATACATATCAATTTGCATTGAAGCCTAGTTCAACCCAACCAGCCCTACTATCCAACCCACATACATGCTGGTGGGTGCTGTTCTGTCTAGCCATGCCTGCCCCTGTCCTGGTTCTCATGTTCTTCCCTGCAAAGGAGATACTATGATCATGAAGGCAAAGGTGTCTAATTGACACTTCCCCAGGAAAGTAAATGTACTCAACATATCCAGTTACTGGGGAAATACAAATTAAAATTATAATAAGATACTATGATATAACACTAGAATAGCTAGCTAGGGATCAATTTCAAATATTGATCCCTAACACTCATGTAGCTGTGGAGTAAATGAGACCAGAGCATAGTTCAAAACCCTCCCTCTACATAAATGTACATGAGTGTTTTCATTTGAATGCTCACAGAAAATGTATCAGTAATACTCCCAGGCTGTAATCTTAACTGTTTATAGCCTGATCAAAATTATAAATGTTTAAATAATTTTCTTCACAATGCTATTTCAATGAGCTTTTGAATAAACTTCATAAAATTTGCCAGAGATAAACTTAAAAGAGGAACTAAGATATTTCTAAAATGAAAAAAATATTAAATGCTTCTGCAAGACTTCAAAAAACAATTAAACATACTAAGAACTATACTTGGTACATAGATTAAAGACTCAGCATTTTAAAATGTAAATCCTGTTTAAAGTGTCCTATAAACTCAAATACTATCAATTTTTGTGTAACAAGAAAAATAGTTATAAAAATATATGGAAGTGTAAAAACTGCAATAACTCAGACACATTTGAAGAAAAGGAATAAATTGGCAATGCTTGATTGATTGGATATAAAACCATCCAGAAAAACATAGGCACAACAATAGACAACTATCTTATGAAAAAGAATATAGAGGCCTGGCACAATAGCATAGCAGTTAAGGTCCTCTCCTTGAATGCTCAGGGATCCTATATGGGTGCCAGTTCTAATCCCGGAAGTCCCCTTCCCATCCAGCTCCCTGCCTGTGGCCTGGAAATGCAGTGGAGCACGGCCCAAGACTTTGGGACCTTGCACCCGCATGGGAGACCTGGAGGAGGCTCCCGGTTTCGGATTGGCGCAGCACCAAATGTTGCGGTCACTTGGGGAGTAAATCATCTGATGGAAGATCTTCCTCTCTGACTCTTCTCTCTGTATATATCCACCTTTCCAATCAAAAAAATAAATATATCTTAAAAAAAAAACAAAAAGAATATAGAAACAGAAACAGGTAAATCTGGGACAATTGATACATGACAAAATGGTGCTGCAGCTCTGTGAGTAGCAATCATGAGTTTTTCACATGTAGTATGGGATTATTGTTTCATTATCTGAAAGAGATAAAAGCATATCCCTGCATAGACTAAAAAACAAAAAACAAAAAACAGAACACTCTGAGAAATAGACAAACAAAACTAAAACTACTTTTACAAATATTTTTGGAGCAGCTTGGTAAAAATTTAAACTCAGAGCACAAAAGGATTTCTCCTTTATGATTCAAAACACAAGCCAAAATGAACAGACTAATTTGAATTTGCCAAAAATTGAATAGGAGTAACCAAAAGATGTCTGAAAAGGGGAAAAAAGTAAGTCAGAGCAGGGTAGTAGAATATAAGGCACAAACTATTTAATGACGTTTACAACACTTAAAAATCAACAAGGAAATAATATTCACTACAATTTTTCAGTCAGATGGTATTATGTTTCACCAGGCGAAGTGGGTGCCTGTGGTGCCATGATTCTGTATGGGTTCTGGTTGGATTCCTGGCTACCATGCTTCTTTCTGCTCCAAGGCCCTTGCAGTGCACCTGTTAAAGCAGCAAAGGATGGCCCAAGTGGTTGGGTCCTTCAAGCCAATGTGGGAGAACCAGATGGATCCTGGACCCCTGCTCTTGGCATGGCTTTTGCCTGGGAATTACAATCTTTTAGGAAGCAAACCAGCAGACAGATGGCATCTTTTTCTCTGTCTCACTCTTTAAAGCGTTATCTGATTTTTGCATTAGCTAAATCTTAGCAGGGCTAGGATGGTATGCTGGGGAAGAATAAGTAAGAAAATGGCACTGCATTTCTGGAAAAACAGTGAAAGAAATGTATAGGTGTTTCATGGCAATCTCAATAATTAGGGAACTGCAGCTTCAAAACATTAAGAGAAAGCATTTTTACAACTATAAGGCAGATCTTTCAAAAGTGAGACATCATTACATCTGGCAATTGTTCATGGATAGAAATTCTGGTGTACTGCTGTTGGAAGAATAAATTACTTTAACCACTTTGGTTTTCCCTATAAATTTCAATATGTAAAGATCCTATAATTCATCAAATCCATTAGCATGTACAGGTTCAGTAGAAATTGTACTGTTTGCAACTTCTTGCACTTGTCATCCAGAAACATGTACAACAAGACTTATAGAAAAATTTTTTTTCATAATATGAAAAGAAAAACTTAGAAACAATCCACATACCAAATTACCAGTTGAAGGAGGAAATTGTAGTAAAGCCTTGTTCTAGGATACTATGTAACAATAAAAATGAATGATGTATAACTATCCCACATTATCAGCATGGGATGATCTATGTAGCAACATAGTTTAAAGAATAAAGTCACAAAGTAAATATATAAATTGATTACATTTATCTAGAACTCAAAACTTGAGAAGACTGAATAATGTACTACTTAGGGATACATGAATACATTCACAAGGGTATTGTTACGTTTGTGGAAAATAGAATGAAAAGATAAGTTTCTTTTGGTTTAAAAAAATTATGTAAAATTCCAGACAAGTCTTTCTTAATATCCACTTTCCATGTACTTTTTGAAGACTCCTGTGTACAGGTATTAAACCTCCAAAGAAAGTAAGTGAATATTTATAATTTGAGATACTTAGTATTTGTTGCTCACTGATAGGTGTCATCAGTACGTGCTATATAAGAGATTCTAAAGAACACACTGTCCCTTGGACTTAGTGCTCCACATGCAGATGTCCACAGTTTGCTGATTAACATGTACGAGTTTTCTGCCCTCCCTCTGATTATATGCACTTGATATTTTTTATTGCAAAATTACAGATTTCCAGGACTTGGAATCAGGTATTACAAGTAGGTTCTGGCGGGCTCAAGAAATCCGAATTTTTGCCAGTTTCCCACAGTGATAAAAGTAGTTGAAGGCCACCTTTTGAGACTCTTTATAATTTCTAGTTTGAGCTTTCTACTCTGATAACTTGGTATGTCAAGAAGAGCTGCAATAATATTAAAGAAGACAATTTTTATTAAATAAACACACAACCCTTCCAGTTCTAGATATTATCACTTTACTCTACAAACAAAAAGCATTTACAAAAATAATCAAAAGAAATTCCATTTCTAGACCACATTGGTAAAGCTATGAAAGAATCTGAATAAGAAACATTATAGAACTTCTACGTACCATACCAGTACCATATAGAAAAGCCCAGTCAACCTTTTTATCATAGGTTGACATACTTTAGTACCTGGAAGTCAATCCATTGCCCTCTTTATCAGTTTGCCAGTAAAAAGTAAAACCCTAGCATCTTTATAAGACATAACATTATTGACAATAAAACATTAAGAATAAAATTTTGTTAAAAGAAACACAATATTAAAAAAAGATGACTTGGGTAAGCTGCCAGTTGAGATTAATCTTAAATTTTCCTCAGATGCACTAAGTTATAACAGTTTAAGTAACACTGCTTAATTATTTTAGCAATCTGATTATTGATTATTGGTAGTCCAAGCCAACTTGCTACAGCATAATTGCATTTTACATATATACAATGTTTTATTTACACTTCGGGGAACTCTTCCAGTCTTCTCATCTCATCTCATCTCATAGCAGTCACTATTTTTCATGCAGAAAGTTTTCCTTCGGCTTCTTCACCACAACAAGGGTATAGGCACCCATCTCTTTCCACATTGAATACATTCATGGAAGTTTATAAATGTGTTTTGCTTGTGGAATGATGAGCAGTATTTGGGACAGATAAATAGTATCTCTGGATGAACATTTCAAACTCTCACTACACTTTTGATTTCTGTGCTTCTACAAGACTGTAAGACCCTTTCATGTTGGCTTTCCTTGCAAAGTAAATGATCATTCCGATGGCAGGTATTATTAAGGAGGATGCACAATAGAGCACGAGAAGTTCAGGGGAAAAATAGTCCTTGCTGTTTTCTCTTCCTGGAAGATAACAGAATGGATGCAATTAATATCTAGTACAAAAGGAAAGTATTTAACAATAAAAGTCACATGTTTTATTGTAACACTACAACTAGTTCTCAGAATAGGAGTGAAGCAAAACAGTGACAAGGTCAGTTGGCATCCTAGATGCATATTTCTCTGCCTTATTCAAATCATTGGCTGGTGATTGCTATGATCTTGATGGATGTAAACATAACAGCTGTTGACTTTCATAAATTCCATTCTGCTAGATTCTGATTCATTTGCAGAGTGGAAGAGAACTCTAGGGCTCATTTACAAGAGTACAAGTTAAACAGAGATGTTTTCACTGGGAAATAGAAATATTTACCGAAAAAGAGAGGCACTGATCACTATTGAATCAAAATCCTTAAAATATAAAAACAGGATCAAGACTCCTGTCTGTCTTTTTTAGCCTAAGGTATGCCTGACTATCCCTTATTGAAATGAATTCGTTGACATAAGAGAAAGATTCTGCTGGCCTTACACAATTGTGATCACTTGACTGAAGGAATTATTTGTTTCTTGAGAAAAATCTTGGTAGTCGCTATTGTCCTGGGGTGGTTTAGGTAGGGGATTCCAGGTCCAGACAGAATGCAACTGTCACATGAGCACAACCCCCAGAACAACTGGAGTGCATATGGACATCATGCATTTTCTAAAGAGAATAGCACCACCAGTTAGAGGAAGGTCAGGAGCTCTAATGACAATCCTAGGCATGACTGAATCACCTGCGTCTCATCCCTAATTTCAGCCTGTAGGAATCATCACCCCTAACTCTTCAGGGAACCAGAGAACTAAGTCACAACTCCTCAGGTCCTTGCAATGTGCTTTGCAATAAATACCTACTTTCTTACACCACTCTGATGTCAGTGATTGGCTATTAGCTGCATAAACACTGAAAATAATTGGCTCTCAACCATTTCTATTGATGTTATATGCTTAAACCAAAACAAAATAAAATGTGTAAGAAGCCAAGCCAAATATAAAGAAAAAGTTCAAAACACTTAAGAGAATGTCAGAATTCTTTTGGTTTCCATTCATGTCTACCTAATTTCAATCGTACTCAGTTTGGGGGCATGGAGATGTAGCTTAGTACCCAATATTTTGTGGCTATTCACTGAAGTATGAGTAAAGAGTGGCCAACATGTAAGTGGTAATATAATAAAGCAATTAGAAAAAAAACAAAAGCTGTGTGTAATAGTTAAAAAGTGGAGAATAAGTTTTCTATGACTTTATAAGAGAACAAATAATTATAAACAGAATTGCATAAATGTCAGCCATCTAATATCCTGGGGGTAGGCCCAGCTAAAGGTGGCCTAGAGGCATCATGGATTAAAGAAAGTAGGAACGAAAGATTTCCTACTTACTCATAACTGAGATCTCAGCCCATCCAGAAGCAGTCCCTACCTCATTGGAAGCACTGATTATATATACCCTGGTATGTGATATGGTACAAGGTAAATGTCCCATTCTTTTAGCACATACTTGTTTCATTGGCCAAATAAACCCTTTTCAGGATAATCAGTGCAGTAAGATGACTAAAAGTTTTACATGTAATTGTGACATTTTCTCCTTAACATTTCCAGATGAATGAATGGATATTGCTATATTTTGAGAAGATAATGTGAAGATAAAAAACATGGAAATATAAACAACAAAAAAACAAAAGCAGGCAGAAGAGAAAGCATGGTAAGTCTTGTAATCTTGAGAAATTCAGCTAGAGGAATAAATGCTTCCTGCTTTCTGACTTTGGTTTAATTTTTTCTGCATTGATAGATGGTTGCTAATTCTGGTAGCTAAGCGCTAGATACTTTAAAAAGTTGGCATTTGTTTGCAATTCTTTCCCACCATTGCCAATTCCAAGTGTATCATCCCATTCACAATACAAACTTATTAGCATGCAAGGAGTGTGAGACTGATTAGTCAAGGCTAATGTATTCTGCTTCCACTAATAAAATGAATACATCCTACCTACTGCGCATTCACAAATAGGGTTAAGAGACTAGATTTCTCCCATGAAACCACTACAGCTCCTCTCTCTCTCTCCATCAGAAAAGAGCAGGAATGCAAAGGACTTGAATTTTCAAATAGGTTTTTTTTTCCGTAATTTAAACAGTATTTTTATGTCCATCAGGTCAAGACTGCTAACCCAAATTATTATCCTGAAAACAGTCAATCTCAAAACTAGACAATTACTCTATGTTCAGTAAATAATGAACCGTTATGGCAGGAAGCAAGAGTCTGAATTGAACGCATCTTTCTCAAAGTACTTAATTTTTACTTATTTCCATCAGGGAATGCTTTTGAAAATATGGCTAAGCACTTAAATGCAATACCCCAAAGACCAATGATGAATTGCTAACTTTGAAAAAGCAAATGGGAATTCTATACTCACACATGATTCATGTTAACTTCCTCACTAAACTCCATGGGTTAGAGCATCTGTGCTTGATTATTTCAGGAAACATTAAGAAAAAACCCCCAATCAATGAGTAAATCAGTTTCATTTTATCAACGCGTCCATCTAATAGTAAAACTTCTCTACAATCTTTGAAACATCTGAGCTATTAAAAAAATGAGAAAACAGAAGGAAACAAAAGACTGACCTTTGACATCAAGTGTTATACTTCTTAATTGTGAGCCAACTTCATTTTTAGATTCACATTCATACACGCCCGCATCCTGCAGCTGGGCTTTGCGGATGGTGTATGCACCATCTATAGACTTCAGCACTGTGTCTCCGCTCTCTGCTTTTTTCTTCAGGATTATCCAAGTTTCTGGAACATTTCCACATGTACAGGAGATAATGACAGTGTCGCCTTCCTTGACACTCTTAGAAGGAAAAGCTGTCAGCTGTATCTCTTTTGGAGCAACTACAAAGAGAATTTTAAAAGTATCTCTGAGTGAAATATAAACCAGTTTTATATCAATTGAGTGATATCAACAATAGAGTTCGAGAACTAATCTTGCTTACACTTGACCTAGCCAAAAGGCTAAGAAGTGATATAATTATTCATGCTTATTATTTACATTAAATGTTAAGAGGGGCAAGTAAAATTGTCAGGCATTTAGTGGATTATTATAGCAATGATACTTTGAAAAGCATGAAACGTGTTTTACGCTTCATTTTATTTTATTTAATCCTTTATACTGCTAGCACAAAGATTGGGTATTTAATGAACAACTATAGAATTCAAATACTTTGCAAGATTCCAAAGTTTCTGTGCTTTTCTTAGATTGTTTTTTATCTGAGGAGCAGAAACAGTCATAGAAAGAGAAAGCTCACATCTGCTTTCATGTCCCAAACACCTAGAATAACAGTAACTAGGCCAAGGATGAGGCAAAAGTTAGGAGCTGAGGGTTCAGTCCAAGTCTCCTGCATGGGTGATAGACACCTGATTGCTTGAACCATTACTGTTGTCTCCCAGAGTGTGCATAAGCATGAAGCTAGAATCAGGATCTGAGCCAGGTATCAATCCCAGACAGTGTGATATGGGATGTGAGCCTCCTAATTGTTATCTTAACTACTAAGTCACATGCCTGCACCTAAATCCAATCTTTTGTGATGTGTTAAAGGTTATAGCATCAGGATGCCATCCTTAAGGATTCTGTCAAGATTGGGGTTAGCCTCCCAGTTTTCTTCCTTCATGATACAAATCTGATTCATATGAGGTCATTAGAAAGTCAGTAATACTTTTGTGGGAACACTAACAGAGATTTTGCTCATAACTGCCTATAATTTCAGTGTACAAACTTGGAATTGTTTGGCTCACAGTCCTGAATCTCCATAAAGCCACCTGGCTGGTGAATCAAAAAGCACAGTTACTGCTCCTGTGAATCTCAAAATTTACCAGATTTGAGTGCCTTCTTAGGCTCATACGCAAATTCTAGACACTATCTTGAGAGATTGCCATCAGGGTCTAGTTCATCCAGATGACAGCGTTGATGCTAAGTAATTTCCACACAGGTATGTACCCCTTCCTAGTCCTATTTCAATACCATAATCATTGCTTCACAAATGTTACTGGAACCTCTGGCATAGTTCCTAGAGCTAACACATCAGTTGAAATTAACACAATATCAGCATAAGTGACTTCAAATGTTTCCTAAGAGAGTACCAGCTCAGGAACTTCCCATACATGGTAAGCACCATGAACTCTTCACATTCTCAATATATTACTTTAGTAAAACTTTGTCTTGTAACAAAATTCTCTTCAATAACACAAGTCCTTGTCTCCCCCCATACTAGTAACCCATTAATTACATTTATCTCACCTTGGATAACTAATTGAACTTCTTTTCTGCTCTTTCCAACCTGGTTAATCCCTTCACACACATAAATACCAGAATCTTCCATTTTTGTAGAAATTAAGGTTAAAGTTGTATTTTCAGAAAGAGGCTGTAGATCTCCATTATTTAGCTGTCTGCTCCACAGGATTTTAGGGGCTGGGAGGCCGTAACTAGAGCATGTCATATTCACAGAGCTTCCCTCCACCACAATGGAAGAAGGATTGACCAAGACGGCTGTATCTCTTGGGGCAACTGAAAAGTAGAGCACTTGTTAGTTTGGTCCTCTTATTCCCTGAGTTCCAAGAAGATTTATAACAGTTTATAAACCTTGATAAGTTTGCCACAGGAAGTATTTCTTCCCACTTGTCTCAAGGGCTAAGAATAATAAAGTAGACTATGACACATCCTGCCCTAGGTATTTCCTAATGGAAGTATGTTTTATAGAGATGGTCCTACTACTAAAAGGATGGCATGTATTGCCACTTCATGCTAGATTAAGCATGACTGTAAGTCATTTGAATTTCCTTCTGTAGAGGTATAGTCTATTTTTCTGCCTCTTTAATCTGAGTTGGCCTAGTGACTCACTTTCACTAAGAGAATGTGGAAAAAAACACTGCCCTGCTCCCAAACCCAGGACTATAGGAGGCTGTCTTGGTTACTACCTTCTTGGAACATGGTGCTCTGGAGAGGAAATGTGGGCTACCTTCCTTGAGAATGACACTACGTGAAGCATGGGAAGCCTGGACATCTCAGCTGAGGTTCCAAACACACAACACACATGTGAGGCTATGCAAGGCCAGCTAACTATGTTTGCCTGATTAAAAAACCCATGAATGAGCCCAGCTGATGCAAAAGTGAGCGGAATAATGGCCAAATTAACCCTTTCTCCAAGGGCCAAACCATAGAATCATAAATAGACAGAAATTATTTTGAGTGGGGCTTGGCTGTAATAATAATCTTGAAATTTCTTTCTTTACACTGCACGAATTTTAACTGTTAACCTTATGCTAACGATGGCCTAGCAAACATGACCAATGAATCTATACAAATTGTTGGTATATCACATATGTACTTACCATTGACAAAGAGTCTCTGTGTACTCTGCCTTTGTTTGGGTTCAAATTCCATTTCATCAATGTGTAACTTGGCCTGACAAACAAGAACTTTGCCAGTGTCTTCCATGGTGGGGATGAAGGTCATTTCTAAACTTTTGGTCTCAAGAGACTTCCTATCCAATTCCTCCAAAAATTCTTTGTTCTTTAACACAGTCTCTCCCTTGAGTAGTTCAATCTCTAGCCGGTCAAAAGGGTACACACTGGGAACTTTGCAGGTTACACTCACGGGGCTCCCGCTCACTGGTAGACCACTCAGCTCAATTTCTGGATCTCTAGGGAATGCTGGAGATATCAAGCAAAAGTGAGAGAGGAAAAGTTGAGCTAAATTCTGTTCAAAACAAAGGTCTCAAACTGACAGCTTTCACTCATCTGGGATAGAACAATCATTAATTTATGAATAACTGCATTATGCATAAATATATTCTTAACGATATTAAGTGTAAATAGAAATAATAAGGCTGGAAACATCAGATAATCAAGTAATGCATATCTTTATTTATTTTCTGTTTCTAATGATGAAATTTTGCCGAGTGCATGGCTTGGTCTTGAAGAACACATCAGCTTTAACAGCTTATATAATAGCTTCCTGTCCTAAATGTTTTAAATGTTTGCTGTGACACAGTCATTTAACATTCATGAGCTCAGTCTCTAAGAAGTCTTTTGGAAAACATGGACTTACAAAGAATACTAAACCTTCATTATGAACTATATGCAATCCATGACCAGGCTGAACTTGGAATCCGTGCTTCTCTGGCCCCAGAGCTCAGGTTTGGTGCCGCAGAATTTGCAGCCTTTCTGTATCCAAAGAACCTCTCAATTTAGACTTGCAATTTTTCTGCTACCTTAATGTGGGCAGAAAATTTTAAAAATCTTCAGATACTACTTATAATTTTTTAAAAAGCATATCTTAACCACTTATTCAGAATGTAATGTAAGAGGCTGGGAACCTAATAAATGATATTTGTAATATATCCTATACCATCCAATAAAAATAAGACCAAAATAGTCCACCAAAGGGCAAGCATAATGCTAAAAATGTTTTTCCTTAAGGAAAATGTTGCTAAAGGGGTACAGTCTCAAGTATTTCTGTATTGCATTAACAATTCACTGCTGCTTCTCATTTCTGCTGGGAATGTGCCTACATCAGCAGATCCCAGACTCTGGGTAACATGATCACACAATAAAATTGACCCTTCTTTTGAAAGACCCAAATCTCTTTATATTCTAACTCATTCCGTACAATGTCCCAGAGTACCACCCGAGTTTGGGCAGGGTCTCTGGTGGTGTATATCTAAGTGTGTTCTTTGAGCCCTGCTGAATTAAACAAGGCAGAGTAAACTCTAAAATGAATAACTCATAGGGCACTTGTCATGTTTTGTCATTATTTGTTTGCTTATTCGTTATAGATCGAGGAACACCATCAATAGAAATTCATAGATTTGAGGTTGTGAAGGATTTTTATGAGGAAACAAGAAGAGCAAAAAACAGTTTAGTATATGCATTCGTTGTAATATTCAAACCTGGTGGATTTTAGATTCTGTTTCTCAACCAAGATACTAGAAATGAGCACCTTCATCTCAAATCCGTATTTTTGTCATTCTCTGCATATCACTGGCTCAGTATTTCCCATTCTGAAGATCAGCTTTCCAAAAGTGCCTCTAACATGGTAGGCTTATGGCTCAGCTACAGCTTGAGTAGTTGAGCAACAGTCACAGCTATCCTATTATGTGAATAGACAATGAGCCATGCTCTGGCACTCACCTCATCTGTTCCATGTACACATGAAATGGATGAAAGGAGGAAATACGTCATTGAATGAATGATGAGAGAGCTTCATTAAGACAGAAGAGAGGTTGTACACATATGCAATAGATACTTAAATACAGGCCAGTTGTAGTGCATCTAACCATTTTGGTTCAGAGAGCTAGGAATAATTCACAATGCATTTCCTTCCTAACTGAATAGATCACCTTTCTCATTACACGCAATATATTTCTTCCAACAGGACCAGAAAAAAATAGATAAATATTAAACAATTCTGAAAATCACTTACAGTATAGCTCCACCTGAATGCCCCTTTCCAGTTTTTTATGTCCACAGGTCACGGTACACAGGTAAGAGTGCTCATTCTCAAAATTCACAGGACTCAGTTCGAGCACCGATGTGGTCCCTTCACTCCGCACCTTCCCATTCAGAGGGCTGTCGATCTGGGTTCTCCAAGAGAAAGATGGAGACTCACAGCCCCTGACACTGCATGTTAGCACAACTGAGTCTCCTATCTGAGCAGCAAGCCTGGGTCCAGGGGAGATCTCAATGGCAAATGGTTTCTCTGGAAAGGAAAAAGGGGGAATATTGAAAAAGATAAGCTTCTTCCCTCTTAAATACCACTCTAGTATGTGGTTTTATTTTTCCTGATTTCAATTCTGTTAACATTTGTTCCAAGAAGTTTCTTTTTTACACTTGAGACAACGAAGAATCAGACTGTGTTTTTCTTTGAGTCAATCTTCCATCTGCTGGTTGCCTGCCTAATGCTCTCAACATCTGGGACTGGTTGAAGGCCAAAACCAAGAGTCAAGAACTCAATTCAAATATTTCACGTGGATGTCATGGGCTCAACTATTTGAGCTGTCACTTCTGTCTCCCAAAGTTTCCACAGCAGAAAGTTGAAATTAGGAGGCAGAATCTAGATAAGAAATGTTAGAAAATCTAGTGTCATATTGCCAAGATGTAATTAGCTGCTTCGCTGGAGCCTTCCTTTAATTTGAGAGTAGAGATGTCTACTGTGGCATATGTTCCCTTCCCAGTGTGCTAGTCTTCATTATATAGTTCATGTATAAGAATATATTTAAGTACATGTTCACCTATATGTTCATTTACTCTGTATTTTGAATGAATGTTGCCTTATGTCAGAGAGAACATATGATAATTATCCTTTAGGGACTCTCTTACTTCATTGAGCATAATGATCTCTGGTTAGGACCATTTTGTTGGAAATGGGAGAATTTCTTTCTTTTGAATGGCAGTGTAGTATTCCTTGAAATAAATGTGTTAAGCAATATACTGAAGCAATTACTATCTACCATCACATTTAGTGGTTATAATTACATCAACCATTGTATTATTTCTACTCCCCACCTATTTCTCCTTCTTCTATTCTTTCTCTATTTTTCTTTGTGTCATTTCTTTCTGAGGAAATTTAGGTTCAAAATGCCAAATAACTTCACCCGTTTGCACAGCTTGCATGTGAAAAAATTAGGACTTGATGTCAGGTGGATATGATTTTTGAACCAAGCTTTTCAGCTGCAGAGTAACTAAATCAAGTCATCCTCATGTGAACACAAACCAAAATCTATGAAAGGTACTAGGAAAGCTACAAGAATATTTTCTAATTGGTTACAATGCCCATAATGTACCAGTGCTTAGAATTTCTGTTGCCACAATATCAAGTTACACCATTGGAAGACACACAGAATCATGTCGAAAGCAAAGAAAAAAAAAATCATCTTAAAGTGATAAGCACATAATTTCCAAATTTTCTCTTCATGCAATATGCAGACACTTGATAATCATTTGTGGGTTGAAAACTGATTGAGAAAGCAAACTCCTTCACAAATCGAGGGAAGTTCTTTGCTAGTACTGTTGCGGTGGAGCACACAAGCCTCTTCCACATGACAACTACTCAGAGAGAGAGAAAGGGAATCCCAAGTGCCACATAGGTTTCCCTCCAGACACTGGGGATGGTAGGAAGCTCTGAAAGTAATTGACAAGACTTCACAGAAAATCAGTGAAATTTTCTGTACAAATAACAGGCTGGACATAGAAAAAAGAAATACAGAAGCAATCTAAATACAGTATGTTTCACATAGTTCTCATCTGTGCCAAAAGTTATTTTTCTCAGATTGGTTTGTTTATGGTATTTTGGTATTTTCCAATTGCTATAATTAACTGATATGCTCTTAGATTTTGAAGAAGAGACAGGTCAGAACAGTAAGTTTCTGAATTTCTTGTAAATTAGCGTGAAAATGGGAAAGATCAAAGAGGCCTACTTCCTGCCTATAAGTACTTCTCACATCTTTCTTTACTGTGGCTGTTGGCGTCCCATTCAGGAGTACCAGTGAGTGCTGCTGCTCTGCCTCCGAGCCACCTCCTCACTGTTGCACTTGGGAAAGCGGCCTTCCACATTGAAGTCCTAGATGGGATTTCTGGATCCTGGCTTCAGTCTGGCCCAGTCTTGGTTGTTGTCATTGGGCGGTGAACCAGTGGATGAAAGATATTCCCTCTCTCTGTCTCCACTCCAAATTTCAAATAAGTTAGTAAACAACTTTAAAAAAGAAAGAAAGGCAGAAAGAAGCATAGGAAGGAAGAAAGTAAAAAATAAATCTTTTATATAAAAAAAAATTTGGTCATTCTGTGCTATGTAGCTAAACATGAAAATGTAGAGTGGAAAAGTATCTGACTCTAGTTAATGTGTAGTTCAATGAAAAGGTACATTTCAACTGACATAATATTTTGGCTCTTGCTAGAATATGTTGAAGCTTTATGTGCCTATCTTCCCTGATAAATTTATCAGTTTTCCTGAGCAATGACCATACATTTTTCATGCCTTTAATAGCACCAAGCCTAATTTTTTTATTTTTCAGACAAAGGCTTTTAGTTACTTGTTGAATTGAACATAGGTGCATATGTGAGTATAAGAAAAATTGAGCGAATATACAGGAAAAACAAGCAGCTCTGCCTGACACAATAAAGAATTAGGAAACTGACACGAGCTTTGTCTTAAAGGTGGCTAAGCTTTTGCCAGATGAAAGACAGAGAAAAGCCATTCCAGGCAGACAGAACGGCGTGAACAGAGGCACAGAGCTATGACTAGCTCTGTGACCGAAGCTCTAAAGGGAGTGTGAACAATCACATGGGATTATTTCCCAGTGTGATTCAAGTCATGTAAAATGAATATTGTTTTGTGTTTACTTAGCTCTGATAGCAGAACATGGGGTTCATTATCTCAAGGACAGAGTGTTAGCAGGGAGATCATTTAAAGAAAACTGAAAACACAGTGGAGTACTATTCAGCCTTCAATCATTAGAAAAAAGCATATTTTGTCATTTGTGACAACACTGAAGAACCCACAAGACACTGTGCTCAGTGAGATAGCCAGGACACAGCAACCCACACTCACATGTGCCGTCTCTTAGGGCTGGCCATCACAGAAGCACATAGCAGTTTGGAGTTAATTGGAGGCTGGGGTTATGGTGGAGCTGAGGTAATGGGAAGATTTTTGTTCATAAGTATCAAGTTTTAGTCTTGTTTTGAGATTTATGGCTCAGTAGGGTGACCATAGACAATCATAATTCATTGTCTATTTCAAAATAGTCAAGAATAAATTTCAAATGTCTCACCAAAGAAAGAGTAGTGATGAATATATTAATTAATCTAATCATTTAACATTATAGACATGTATCAAAACATCACATTGTACCCTAAAATGAATAAAGTCATGATTTGGCAATTTAAAAGAGAATATATATATATATATATATATATAAAATAAAAATTAAAAATACATAATAAATTTTAAAATAGTTAACACGACATTGAGTTTGGGATTAAAACAAGCCTCTATTAAGTTAATAGTAAATTCAAATGAGTCACTTCATTATTGGCCAAATATGAACTATGCTGAGGCTAACTTTATCTACCCAATAGCATTATAATGAGATAATATGTATAATGAGATAATATTCAGGATGTAAAATTTCTGGCAAGTATAATATTAGATTTACAATCAATAGATGTGCCAGTACTGAACTGAGACTCAATCCTCTATTCTGTAAAATGGATAAAAAGTAATTATGCTTTACTTATTTCCTGAGGATTGCAAATGGCATGTGTAGAGTGTCAGAAACACAGCTAACATCCAGTGAATGCTGCTATTTATGGACACTGTGCAAGAATGCAAGTGACAGATGATAAACCAAGGCAATTGCAAAAGGGTTGAGTAAGCGGTCAGACACTAGAGAACATTTTGTGGTAGCACTAACAGGATTTGGTATTGTTGAATGGAAACATGAATTTGATTCAATTCCTGTAATTCTAGAGTAAGAAGGCAATAAAATCAGATGTGATAACCAGAAAATATGAAGACTCATATTTAACAAGGAAAAAGGCAAAAGGAAAGCCAATAAATGAGTCAGTGAAGAAAAGAAACAACACAGAAAAGAATCACAATGCAGAGCTATGGGAAGCTCTGCGAGGAAAGATTTCCAAGGAACATGAGTAAGACAAACATACATTCACACTATGACAATGAGACTTATAATCAATGAACTTAAGAAAGCGATTTAGCATTGAAGATGTGACAGCCTTTTCATCCTGCGATATTTACATTCTGCTTACCTTGAACAATTAATTCCACCTCTTCTTTCTCTTTCCCAATCTGATTAACTCCTTCACACACATAAATTCCAGAATCTTCCATCCTCATAGCAATTAAAGTGAGAGTTGCATTCCCAGAGAGACGCTGTAGATTTCCATTATCGAGTTTCTTACTCCAGAAAATCTCTGGAACTGGCAGACCCTCGCTGGAACATGTCATTGTCACAGAGTCACCCTCTTGCAGCTTTGTGGAAGGATTTACAGAGATAATTGTGTTCTTGGGTGAAACTGAAAATACAGGGGACAAAATGTGTAACTGCTAAGTATCATCTTGACCCAAGAAGAGGAGTACATTTCTTTCACAAGCCGGATTCATTTATACGATTGTACAAATTTGACAAGCTTAATCTCCCAGAGCAGTGGGGGAAAAAGTGCTGATGATTAAACTATAGGCAGTCTAACTTGTTTGAGTTCTTTTTCAATGTTTGCTATTTTCTAATGGCCACACATACTCAGCAATTAAGAAGCACCTTTAGAGTTATGTGGTTCATTTTCTCTCCTATGGGAGGAGTTTAATCTAAGCAATGCTCTTAAGTCTTCATCCAAGTTAGTTCCAACACTGCCTCCTGAAACAGTCACTGGACAGGTCTAATTGTCAGAAAATTTTCTCCTCTGGAATAGATGTTTTCCTCTCTATAACTACATTTTACACATTAGTCATGCATAGTTTTTTGTAATATGTATTTTCTATCATTTTAAACTGATTGCAAGCATGACTTTCAATTTTTTGCACCAAAATAAGTTATTTTTTAATTCTAATTTTCCACAAACATTTCAAGTACCCACATAATAGTTCTCAATTAATAAGAAATGGAGTAAAAGCTAAACGCATCTCTTGATGACTTCGTGCTGTTAATTGCTACAGACATCTAAGATTGAATACCCACAAAATCTATACCATACTACATAAGTACTTACTGTACAATTGCAGTTCTTTGGTTGCCACCCTTTCTTTCAGTACAGAATCAGCTTCATCAATGTGTAACTTAGCTCTGCAAAGAAGGACTTTTCCAATATCCCCAATGACTGGAGTAAAGGTTACTTCCAAACTCTTGGTTTCCAAAGACTTCCTGTCCATATCTTCAAGAAATTCATGATTCTTCATGACATAATCTCCTTTCAGTATATGCATTTCCAGCCTATCAAACGGATACACATCAGGGACCAAACACCTGACTGTAATGGATTTGCCAACCTCCAGGAGGCCATTCAAATGAATCTCTGGATCTCTGGGGAATGCTGCAAAAGCCAAGAGAAGACAAATTGGGTTTTTCTTCATTTTTGTTTTACTTATGTTGCATGAGGTCTCCTGTTGCTTTAAATCAATGCAAAGCAAATCAAATGTTTTTGCTAATACTATATTAATATAGCAAAAACTATTTGGTTATAGTGAACCATTCATGGTTTTTTGTTGGATTCAAAAGTGATGGCTGGGCTCGGTGGCGTGGTGGCCTAGCAGCTAAAGTCCTCGCCCTGAATGCACCGGGATCCCATATGGGCACCGGTTTTAGTCCTGGCAGCTCCACTTCCCATCCAGTTCCCTGCTTGTGGCCTGGGAATGCAGTCAGGGATGGCCCAAAGCCTTGGGACCCTGCACCCATGTAGGAGACCTGGAGGAGGTTCCCGGCTCCTGGCTTCGGATCAGGACAGCACCGGCCATTGGGGTCACTTGGGGAGTGAATCATCGGATGGATGATCTTCCTCTCTGTCTCTCCTCCTCTATGTATATCCGCCTTTCCAATAAAAATAAATGAATCTTCTAAAAAAAGTGATGGTTAAGACCAACTGCCTTTTAGGGCACTCTTTAGTTCTGACAATATCTTTTTTTAAATATAACTTTATTTTGAATTTTGAATTATGTGGTACAATTTCATATAGGCTGAGATTTTCCCCCCATTGTCACACCCCCTCCCTGACAGATTTTTCCCATTTCACTGCAATAGTGCAGTCCTTCATTAGGAATCACAATTCCGTTAGTCTCTGATTTAAATATACCCCAACATTGTCAGTACAGACTGTGTCAGACAGTTCAGCATCCCTTGGTCTACACATGTCTGACTCTATATATCTTAAGGATCAAATATGTTTAGAGTAAAAGAAGAGAGAAAAGTCAATACGCGCTAACATTTACACATTCCTATTACTGTGCTATAGATTACAGTTTTATTTTCTACTCACATTAACTTTATGAAGCAAAGGTCATATTTTAAATTACCTACAAAAATCTGGACTGGAGTAAATATTTAGCTTTGTGGTTGACATGTTGGTCCGGACATCTGCATTTCATATTGGTGTGCTGGGATCATGTTCCAGCTCCACTTCCCATTCTGACTTCCTGTCAACTTGCACCTTGATTGGTAGTAGGTGATGGCTCAAAAACTGACTTTCTGCTACCCACATGAGACACCTACATGCTAGGTTTCTGATTCACAGCTTTGGCTTGGGCCAGTTTCAGCTATTATTAGCATTTAGAGAGTGAAGTAACATATGGGAGCTCAATGTCTATTTGTCTATTTCTCTCTCTACCTTTTGAAAAGTAAACTCATGTATTTGCAATAACTTGTCTGTAGTCACACAACTAACACATGGCAAACCTAGGGTTTAAACTGGAGAGTGGGGATTTTTATCCATTTGTAATGCTACTATAGACTTATAATTCACTCTATTACATTACTTTATTTTAGCCAGAGAAGACAAATTTCCATTTTTACAAATAAAGAATCTAAACTTCAGAATGTCACTGCAGAAGGCGCTTGCTAGTCCATACATGAGACGAAAAGAATGACTTTAAGTTGTTGACTTCTGTAAAAGGTGCCTCTGATAAGAGTTTATTCACTATAAAGGTACACCTGTGAAATCATTAAATTCTGGAAAGTAGATTTGTCTCCTAAAATGCCTAACTCAATGTCCCAACCAGCATACCACTGACTCTTTTAGTACCAGGTAACACAGTATTTCATTATCTCCTTTGCAAGAGCTGCTTATTTCATTATCTAGTGTCACGAACACCAGATTTAAGATGCTGTACATAGTAAAAAAAAAAATACGAAGTCCCCAAATCTAAGGAATACTATTATGAAAAGTGGAGCGGAGAAGGAACTGTTAAATATAATGAGAAACAGACATTACAATCGAAAAACTTCAGGCAAGATAATTAAAGTCAGAGGGAGCTTCATTTCTCTTTTCAAAATCTCCCACTATTTGTGGGCAGAAGACAAAGGAGTTGGACAAGGATTTCTGTATGAAAAGCCCAGTGTTTTTCATTTTTCCAGCAAAGATTTCCTTCCCTCACATTCTATAAGAAAGGTGACTGTAGTCTGCACAGTTTGATGTCGGGTAATATAAGAACTTGCTACTTTTCCTTGTATTTACATAAGGGGCCTTTTCAAGGAGCTCAGGAGACTATTCAGACATAAACTATGCCTGTATGGCCAGCATAATTGAAAGCAGCCATGCAGTCCGTTTCTTGAACAGCTTTAACAACACATGGGCCTTGTCGAAATTTCAATTAAGGTTACCAGGCAAATTTGGGCTTCAGGACAATACAAAGAAACCAGTGCAATTATAGGATAATCAAATAAGGTCTTCATGAATAAATGACTACAAGCAAGTTCAATTTTTACAAATCGAGGCCATCAGTAACCAAAGCAAATGATTGTTGCCAGATTAGTTTTACACTCTTGGTACCTTTATTCATTAAATTGACAATGGAGTTCAACACATTTTGGCATCTGCTAAGCAAGGAGTGTTCATTCACACTCATTATGCAAACTTATGTTTATTATAAATATCTGCAAACCTGAGTGCCAAGATGCCATGGCACAAAAGAATTCTTAACTGTATTAACACCTAAGTCAAGGCAAATGCTTGTAGTTTTTTTAAATTATCTAATCAGAAAAGTTTTATGAGAATTGTGCTCCTAAACTCTACTTCTGCACAATGTTTAAACTGATTATAAACAACAAATTGCTTACGAATCAATTAATGGTTCATGGAATTCATAAATCATTTAATGAATGTGCAAGCACACAGAGAAGTATAGAATCAAAAGGAAATATTTTAAAAGTAAAATAAAGATAGCATTAGAGATTCTTGTCTTGTAGCTAAGAAAATTGGAGCCCAGGAGACTGAGGTTTGCACATGGCTTCCATATTCATGGCAGAGGTAGAAACACAAGATGAAGTTTTCGCCCCTGGACTAGTTCTAGCTTCAGCTGTCCCTGCCTTCTGAGAGGCCCTTATGTGCCCTCATCATGAATCTGCACTGAACATCTCTTTAAAAACCTTCAAAACTATACTTTAAAAGATATTAAAACAGAATTGCAAAACAAATAAAGTAGATTCTCTAAAGCACTCACAGTAAATCTCCACCTGGATTTCTTTTTCCAGTTTCTCAGATCCGCAAGTTGCTGTGCACAGGTATGAGTGTTCGTTCTCAAAACTAACAGGATCCATGGTCAGTATGGACTTGGTCCCCTCGTTTGTCACCTTTGCATGCAGTGGGCTGTCTATCTGGGTTCTCCAAGAGAAAGAAGGGGATGCACAGCCCACGGTGCTGCAGATCAATGAGACGGAATCACCAATCTGGGCAAGAGATCTGAATTCAGGGACAGTCTCAATATAGAAAGCTTGAGCTGCAAAAGTGAAGAAAGAAAAAAAAGAAAACTTACCAGTGTGCATCTCATATTTTCCCACCTCTCGGTGCTAGCATAATTCCAAAATATGGATCTGGCTCATCTTTTTCATAAACTTCTTTCATTAAGTGCAAGCAGGCCCCAAAGCACTGAAGGCACTAGCCAAGGAGGTGTTGGCGTCATCCCCACTTAACAGACTTTCTCAGGCCCAACCTTAATGCCCATTTATCAAAACTGTTTTGTTAGTTGCTCGCTTTGACCTCCTTATCAAGTACCGGAAACTACTGGGACGCACCTACTAGTAAAGAGTCCAAATTGCTATCATTTGACATTGGAAAAAAGATATGAAACCAAAAGAGATAGACCTACTAGAGAGCGAATTGAAATTACTCATTTGACACATTGGAAAAATGATCAACTTTGCAGCTCTATCTATGTCAGGATAATGCTTCTTAGCAAAACTTAACAGCCCATTTAAAGTTAGGTTAAATTAAGTTTTCCCGCTATCAAAAGTTTTAGTGTCTTTCTTCACTTCCCTAGCAAAGCTGACTGCAGTGAAAAGCAGAATTACAATGGACTATTAGCATTTGAAACAGATCAAGAACTTACAAGCTGCAGTCATTATCCAAAGTATTTTTGAGACTCCAAAGATCAGGACCATCTTCCCAGGCATTTTAAATAGCTGCTGCGATGAGAAAATAATGATTCCAAAGGCTTTTGCTCTGCTCCACCTGAGAGTGCCTGGAAAGAGTTTGCAGCTCCAAAAGCCAGTGAGGCTGAGTGAGGAGTGAAATAGAAAGTCTGCTCTTTATAAAGGGTCTTGCTGCAAGAGGAGGAGGGAAATCCCTTCAAGGGGAAACCCGGGGCAGAGCCAGGGAAAAAAAGTTTAACAGAGGCGGCCAAGTTCCAGTATTAACCCCTTCTGTTGCTTTCATTGCTCTAACTGTTCTATTTTCTCTGTCCTGGGAAAAAAAAAACCCAAAACACTTCCCAGAGCACAAAGTCCAGACTTTTTTTGATTTTCATTTCCAACAGAAAGTCTGTGCTGGAAAAATATATAAAACAATCCACATTGCAGAAAGGACAAAGCTTTCTGAATCTAGAGGGGAAGGAAAAGAGTAGAGAGAAACAAATGAGAAAATCACAGGATAGTCTAGCTTTTGAAGTGGATAAACAACCACTGTCAGTGAACTGCTATTTTCTATCAAGAAAATACATTTGCAATTCAAAAGCTAGATCATTCTTTGGATTATCCTTTTCTTTTTTTCCAAGCAAAAAGAGAGAGAGAAAGCACAACCTCTGTTTTTTGTGCTTTTTACTCACCAAAATAATCCTTTGGGCATCAAGCATCAACTTTCTAAAATTATTTTCTTGAGTAGAAAGTAAAGAAATGCAACCTGGGTACTGCTGCCAAACAAGCACAACTTTCCCTTCTGTCTCAAAAGTTTAATTGCTGAGTAATTGGAAGACTTTTGAAGATTTAAATGCAAGTGCATGGAATGCAGCTGATGAATTTCTTGTGGTAAAGCTTTTGGGTTTGGGATTTTACCAACAAACATAGCCAAAATGTAAAAAATAATTTTTTTTGTTAAATGAAATGATCACCAATGTATATTCTTCTTTCCCACCCAGTGAAATGTCTGTTTTTAAAGTGCCATTACATCTCTGTGTTAGTATTGCTCACACACAGAGCCTAAATCTGCAAAACTGTTTGCCTGTCAAAAAGGAACCAAAATAGCTACTTCCTTGTCTTTTGCCCATGTCGGTATAGCCGTTAGATAATGAGTTCCCATCATAGCCTGTGACAGTTCTTGCTCGTCACTGTGCCCACTTCCACAATATGTAACACTGCCTGGCTGTGTACTTGGTGAACATAGAAAGATGCAAGAAAACCATTATGAATTTGGAAAAGAAACTCCCTCAAACTAGCAATAGTGTGCAAAAATGTTGACTTCTAGAAGAAAATTCCAACAATCAGGAAAAAATGAGCAGCACTGTATTACATGATGAAGGCCATTACTGAAGACTAGAACCTACAGCCATCCCTACATGGCTGGAGAGATGTCTAAGACCTCATAGACAATAATGTGGCCCCCTCTGAGGAACAAGGACAGGCAAAAAAAAAGGAGGACACTATTTGGGTGCTATGGTGATATAAGGAGTTTCATTAACTCTAAGGAAAATATATGTTATTTTGTGAACCCATCTTTTCAGGAAGTAAAATACCTGCCAAATATCTAGAGATTACTTAAGCAGAGTTAGACTAAACAGAACAGAAACTTTTTACAGTTTGTGTCATGTAAAAAGATTACCAGTATGATATAAATATACTGCCTAAGAGAAGAGAAGACAAAAATGGTATTACAGAATTACAACACATTCCACTGAAGGTGGAAGAAGAGTGATCAATTGACTCCAAAGAAAACTTATTATGGTCAAGTCAGGATACTTACTTCAGTTCTGAGTTTTTATGTGACTCTGTGTTTGGGGAACATTGGAGAAATGGCTGATCTATTGATTTAGTTCATAGTAGTCTTAACAAGAATTTAATTAAGTTCCTGTTAATATCTTCGAGTTAGATGCTATCAGAGGTCCAACCCACATTTCCTTCTATAACGGTGTAACTAGAGCATCCCAGGGAAGTACCTGCCATATTTCAATTATTCTTGTCTCTCTTTCCTTCAATGCTAACACATATGATTTTTACCTTTCAATCATCACATCTAATCTAGCATAAGGCGTTTATTAAAATTATGCAAGGAATGAGTGAATCGATTTGCAATATAAGGATAACAAATTGATACTAGCATCTGAATGAAATACTATTAAATATTACTTTTGAATTTGTTCTATTTAACATTTTTACTAGTAACATGTAGCACAATTATCAATTTATTTACAACTTAAGACTGAAAAACTAGCTAATCTTTGCCAGATTCCTTTGTTTGTTCATTTGAAAAGCAGAGTGGGATGGGGTTGTAGTGCAGCAGGATAATTCCTCTCCGGCAGCCCACATGGGCACGAGCTAGAGTTTGGCTGTTCCACTTCCAATCCGGTTTCCCATGAAGGGCTGGGGAAATCATCAGAAGAGGGCTCCTGCACCTTGAACCCCTGCACCCATGTGAGAGATCCAGAAGAAATCCTGGCTTCCAGCTTTATACCAGCCCATCTCTGGCCACAGCAGCCAATGGAAAATGGCAGATGTTTGAGTATAATGTAGAAGAGATTTGATATGGTCATAATCTATAGGGAAATACACTGATGATTTTAGTTAAGTGTATGATGAACATGAACCAACATTAACTTGAGAAAACGTAAATTGAAGTGTGATAAGTTCAGATTACACTCATACTCATTCAACTTTGAATTTACCTTAAACCCTGGTCTCTGAGCATACAACATATTACCAGGTCTCCTTGGAAATACAGAGGTCTGATTTAGGTTGCCATTCCTTAAAAGAGATTGACAATGTAGACAGTTTCTGAGAAAAAAGATAAAGATGACAAATGGCTCCAAAATCCCTACCTAGTACAACCATTGAAGAAATAGTCCAAATTTGTCTGAAGAAGAAACTCAAACTAATATAACAACTGAACAGCTGATGTACAGATTAAGGAAGTGTTATTTGTTACTTGACACTAAATTAGGCCTCATGAGCCGGCAGTTACTCAATGATTAGCTCTAGGTGTTCCAAAAAGGTACAGGTCCTAGTCATGACCAGAGCTTAGCATAGTACCAGTAGATGGTAGAATGAATGAATCAAGACAATTTGAAAGAGAACTCCACTCAGAGTCAAGTTTTGAGTTCAAGTCCAATGATCCACCTGCACATTGTGAGTTGAACCTCTCTGAGCAGGTTGACGGATGCTCACATGGCAGTAGCAGCACCACGTGAGTCATGATTTTGTGTGAAATCTCTTTAAAGGCTGTGAAGTGCTATGTGAATGATACGCACTACCATATCAAAATCACAGTAAAAGAGGACTTGCCACAGGATAACATTTTGGTGTCGAGCAGGTTAAATTGCTGCCTACAACACTGATATTCCATATGGTCACCAGATCCAGCCCCAGCTACTCCACTTCTGATCTAGTTTCCTGATAAAGGCCTGGGAAAAACAGTGGAAGATGCTTTTCTCCCACCCATATGGGAGACCAGGAAGAAACTCATGGCTCTGATTCCTTGCTTTGGTTTGGCTCTGCTCTGGAGATTGCAGCCATCCGGGAAGTGAACCAGCAGGTGGAGGATCTCTTCTCTCTTTTCTCTGTAACACCTGCCTCTTTTAAAAAAAAATAATTTATTAATGTTTTCGAGTTATATTTGGGTTGACTAACCCCTCATGGTCCTGATGTGGCTGCTCCATCATCACCCATTACCTCTGCATTTCAGACAGGAAAAAAAGTGGAAAGATAAAGCAAGAAAAATCAAAACCAGTGAAGCTTAGTCACTTTTCAAATAACTTTGAAGATTGTCTTTGAAGGCAGTAACTTCCAGTCAATTCTCATTGAATACATGAGGATTAAATATTTTAACTAAAATGGATCTTTAAACTGCCACCAAACAATATAAGGATTATATTCCCAAGAAAGGGGAGCAATGGGCAAGGAGCAGTAAGGTAATCAGTAGCATGTGTAACAATTTCCTAACTCAATTCAATATACAGAATGTTTATTTAAAAGCTACAGCATAAGCACCAGTCCTGGGGGTGTATAAACAAAGACACAGACACAGTTTCTATATCAGAATAAGGAAGATATGTGTGGTATCAGTTAGGAACTTTCACACAGTTCAACTTGTGACTCAGAAGAGAGACCAATTACTTATCTGTTGGTAATCAGGAAAGAAAATGAAGACCTAAATATGAGACTTTCTGGAATGCAAACTAGAGGAGCCATCATTGTCTTGCGAGAATCCTATTTCACTATGAACTTATTATGGTTTTCTGGGATTTTAAAAACAAAGTTTTCTTATTGTCAAAAATAAAAAATAAATCATATCATGATAACACTTAATGAATCACATATGCATGGTATAATTTATTGAATTTTAATACAGACCAAATTATCACAGAAAGTAAAAGTAGAAGTAGATTTCCCATACAAAATTTTTCTTTTTCCTTTTTCCTTCTGTAAATTTACTTAAGGGAATTCAGAATGTAATAATTAGGCTTTGTCTATTCCATGTATCTAAGTGTTGCATTCCAGTTCTCCTAATATTTATGATGAGCTTCCACCCTCTCTGGTAATTTCCATTTCTTGCCTACAGAAAAACATTTTATCTTCACATTGGCTTATTACTTACTGTTTCCAACATGGGCTTTATTTTTCTACAGAGTTTACCTTTTTGATGAAGTTTTAACCAGTCTTACACATGACCAAATCTGACACTCTATTTGCCCCAAGTGCCAATGTAGTGATATAAAATCAATTAATGCATGCTTTCTGTGACAGTAGCACAAGATTTTCTTTTCTCTTACTAATAACACTTACCACCTGCATAACTACTGACAGAGTTGTCCTAAGTGCCTTCAGAGTGTCTCCTTTGTGCTTCATGGCAACCTCATCAGAGAAGCAAGGTGAGTGCTTTACCTTCATGGTAGAGTTCAGGAAACAGAGGCTCCAAGAAGGTTAGACAAACAAGCAGACACAGATCATGACACAGCAGAAACTGCATTTTAATGGCAGCACCTCTTCCTCCCATTTCTCTACCTGCTATACCACATCATGCCAAGTGCCTCTGTTACTGTCTAC